AGCAGCCGTTGATTCGCTTAAAAAGCAAACACCACTAAGAAAGTCGTCGAGTCATACAAGTTCGAATCACATCGTACTCGAAAGAAAACGGCTAGCACAAGTAGTGATAGCAAATTATTCCCCTAAGACCTAATTTTTATTTAAACAATACGTACTTGAAATTATTACTTTCTGGCGTTCCGACGTATTGCAGCAGCCTAACTGCTTCTTTCGTCATTGAGGGTTGTGTTAGGTTCATGATTCGTCCATTCTGTAAAGCTACACAGCATACGTTTACTTCCATACAATAGCACACAACACAACCGTACAAAGTTATATTTCCACCAACAGTAGAATTCTCTATCATACTTCTGTTTCGAAACTTTAACTGGGTAGTGGATATAAAAATCGAAGAAAAAACATAAAATGAAGGAAGAAATTCCACTTTGTAACGAATGAAATAGTTATAACAAAAACATTTGTTGAAATGAAGGTCTAAAACTAAACTGAGGACTAAAAATTGCACTTAACAAAAAAGAAAAAAACGCAACATGAGATTGTCCTTAAGCATAGAGGATAAAGGATAAAGCTCCCGGCGCTGATCAATCCCTGAGGCATGCGCCAAGCATTCGACTTCATTATTATGCATCGTTTGGTGATGACTGAATGCATATCTGTCCTTTACAATGACTCGCGGAAGCCTACCGATGTATCTAGCCAGTGCTGCTACCTTCCCAAGAGAAGTCTGGTGGAAATTTGCCGACCCCGGAGGGATGGAAGGCTCAGTTGGCCATGGGCACGGGGATCGATTCCACGTCTACGTTACAGGGCGCCTCGGACCACTATGCCACATGTCAAAACGACAACGTCGGACTTCTCTTCAAAACAATCCAAGATTTTTCGTTTTATTTCTAAAGCCGAAGCATCACTAGATTAGAAAATATTCTTTCCCACTCCTTTTCCACAAGGAAGAAGAGAACTTTTCTATAAGAAAAGACCCACCTGAATGAAAGTGCCTTCTACATTCATTCGCTGGTCGAAATAAATACTTCCCCACTGTGGTGCTCGATTGCTTGGATACATAAAAAGAAAGGGATACGAAATCCTTTTTTTCATGAATACACTATGAAACATCTCAAAACCTTTGCAGTACTATTGATATGCTTTGCGAAATAGTTTAAATTGTACAACAATAATGATGCTGAAAAATGACCAAAACATGAGATCTCAGTTGGGCTTTGAACCCGTGAGTATCCTAGTCGGCGCTCAAGGGCAATCCACTCCATCAACCGAGATCTTTGCTTTTCCTTCCTCCCAGCTTTTTTCCTCTCTTTTTTACTCTAGAACCAGCACCTCGGTGCCGATTTGTGCTGGTCAGATCATCGCGCTGATGGATGATTGCTTAAAACACCGATAGAGTGAATAACTACCTGAGAGAAAGGTAAAGCAAAGGCTTTGACTGGCCGGGTGGATAGCACGTGAGCTCTCGGAAAGGGTAACCGCGAGCTCTAAGTCCACCCACATGGAATCTCGAGTTTTGCACAGGTCTCAGCATCGTTGTGGGGTATTTCATACAATACACCATAACATCCAATACCACAGATCCTCCTCATATGAGGGATCTCGAGCCGGTTAGTCGCGATACTACGTGGAGCGTCTCCAGTGGGCGGATAGGGAGTTAATCGCAGAGCAAAATGTTTCTATTGCACCGATTTGACACCTACTTTCTGTATCTGCTAGTCGTATTTATGCACGAGAGTTTAGGTGCGTTCTTGCTTACGCGGATTGTATTCTACGAGTCAATTCGGCCAAAATCTTGCAATCAAGTGACAGGGAAGTATATAAGAGGCGGTTAGGAGTCGCCTCCAACAAATAAGCTGCATGCTCACTCTGGAAGAGACTGGCAAGCTACTCGTGTGTATACCTAGCTCCCACGTTCAGAGCCCAGCAAGGTATACGTGGGTATCAAAAAGCTAAAAACAGTAGAAGGAACGGGTTTCATTCGCCTAACCCCGAAAGAACCCCCAATTCGGCAGCGCTGGGTGAGATGAGTACGAAGAAGTTGCCAAAATCTCAAGGCCAATGGAAACTGCCTAGATTTCAAAAAACTATGGTGACGATCTGTACCTGCAGTGCACGTACACTTGCATCCTAACCCTAGATGGAAGACTTGCTCAAGAAAGCAAGAAGGATAAGGTACGACGTCAACGGCCTGGCCCAGACGAGACGACACCACCTATTCAACGCCGTCTATGACACCGGAGAAGAACTGTTCCTCGGAACATGCGACAGTAGAGGAGTCGGCGGTGTCGGCGTTCTCGTCAACATGAGTTTGTACATGAACAACGACTCATTCGAGCAACTTACAACCCGAATCGGACGTTTACGATTAAAAAGACGTGAATCAATTCCGGTTTTGATAATCTTCGTCGTTTACGCGCCGACATCAAACTAGACGAAGAAGTCGAGGGGTTCCAAATGGACTTGAAGAAGTTCTGTCGAGAAGACCATACATTCTTCAAATTCATCATTGGAGATTTCAACGCCAAGATTGGACCAAGAAGAACGTCTGAAGAACGTCACATTGGGAGCCACGAATTAGAATGGAACGAACAGGATGAGCGGTATCTGAGTTTATCACGGTGACCAAGACAATCCATGGTAACTCGCAATTCTAGAAGCTCCACCTTCAGCGCTCGACGTGGGAGTCTCCCAGTGGAGAGTTCCGTAACGAAATAGACCACATGATAGTAAACAGAAGGTTTTGCCTAACCGATGTCGCTGTTGTCCCAAAATTCTACACGGGGTCAAACCACCGTCTCCTTCGTGCAAGATTCTACTTCTCGAGGAAAGGAGAAAAAGCCGTTAAATCCAAAAACCGAAGTCCTAGAACCACCGAAAACTGGGACTGTTTCAATTCATTAGTCTTCCGTTGGGAAGATGCCGTTGTCAATAACATCGACGAAGAATACGATCAGCTCATTCAACAACACTTTAGCGCTATAAAAGCTGAGAGTTCGAAATTCACCAAGAGACGTTTGTCTCCAGAAACATTCGATCTGATACGCCAGTGTGGAACCACACGAGCTGCAGGCAACTCGAATTAACGTCCGAACTTGCAAAACAGTGCAGACAGGAGATAAAAGAAGATCTTAAAAAGAGAAGAGCAGGAGCAATGGCTGAGTCTGCAAAGGCCGGGAAAAGCATTCGCAAAGCCCACCGAAGCTTCACCAATTACAAGACCAAAATGATTGCTCTCCGGCGCCCACACGGAACAGCTGCAGCTTCCAGAAAGGCAATGGAGAAAATCATTCACGAATACTACTCAGATTCCTTAGATAGCCACGTCCTCCTCCCCTTATATGAAATAAAGGAGGATGGACATGACGTACCACCCGTTCCCCCTTCCGAAATCCGACATGCTATTTCATCGGTGAAAAATCGAACAGCATCAGGTTCGAACAGGATGAAATCTGAACACCTGAAGAACTTTCGGTCAGTCTTCATAAACACACACATGTTTACATGTTACCTGTCAGAACGCAAGGTTCCTATTCAATGGAAGACCACCAAGATCGTGCTAATGTTCAAGAAGGAAGACCTCCACGATATCGGCAACTATCACCCAATCTGCTTGTTGTCTGTCATCTACAAACTTCCCACTTGAGTTGTAGTAAACGGGATTGGCAGAACACTAAACAAAGGGCAGCCATGTCAGCAAGCAGGGTTTCGAAAAGGATTTAATGAGATGGACCACATCCACTCTATAACAAGACTCGAGGTATCGCGGGAGTACAAAAGACCGTTCTGTCTCACTTTCATCGATTTAAAGTAGACCTTTGATTCAGTTGAGATAGAAGCAGTCATGGAAGGCCTTGATAGTCAAGGAGACCCTACTCAGTACATAAAGATTCATTGTGAGCTGTACAAAAATTTCACAACCAAGATATCACTATTCTGCAATGATATTAACATTGACGTCAAAAGAGGGGTTAGGCAAGGTGATACCATCTCGCCAAAATATTTACAGCCGCTCTCCATAACATCATGCGAACATCGGAATGGGATTATATGGGAGTGAAAATCGTTGGTCGGCAGTTTCATAATCTTCGCTTTGCCGATGACATCGTCCTTATGACACCAAATATTAGCCAAGCGGAATGCATGCTTGCCGACTTTGATAGAACTTGTGGAAAGATTGGTCTTCGACTAAATCTCACAAAAACTATGTTCATGAGGAACGGATTGGTTTCGTATGCCCCATTGACGCTTAACGGAACGAATAACTCCGATTGCTCTAGGCTCCAGTCAGTCTACCTCCGTCGGGAAATCAACATGAGCAACGACTTAGTTCCGGAGCTGAGCAGAAGTAAACGAGCGGCTTGGAGAGCTCTCAAAAGCATCGAGGATGCAGTGAAATGGACAAAGAACACCCGACTCCGTGCCCATCTTTTCTACTCAACGGTATTTCCTGCCCTAACGTATGCGTCAGAACCCGGTCGCTGTGTAAACAGGATGAAAGGTTACTCGTCGTTGTCGAACGCGCAGTCGAAAGGACGATGCTAGGAATATCCCGTTCCACACAAGTAAGGGGTAGGATCCGAAGCTCCGATTTGCGTCAACGATCAAAAATCAAAGATGCTGTTCTGTACGCCAACCAGTCGAAGATAAGGTGGGCCGGACGCGTAATGCATGTGAATGACAACCGATGGACAACAGCCGTTAGTGACTCGATACGTCGGGATGTTAAACGCACTGTAGGAAGACCACCAACTCGATGCTCAGAGTTCTTCACGAAAAGCCTAAAAAAAGATATGATGCTCGACAAGTAACTAGAGCGAGCAAAACTCACTGGGTTACTCTTGGACGCAACGGGGAAAAATGGAACAATTATTGTCGTCCGCTCGAGTCACTCGACGATCAACGGGCCTACAGGTGATGCAGATGATACCCCATGATGCCATAAAAGAAAATACAAGCAGAATACGATTTAAATAAGTTGTAGCTGTAAAAGAGAGGTGTTAGTAACATAAAAACTCCAAAGCGTTGCTCATTCGATGGTACCCATCCTTTCTATAGGCGGCAAAAATCCGTGGACTACCGTACTTTATAAACTTTCAAGCTTTACCTGATAAGTGAAAAATAATGAAGCTAACTTTGATAAGATGATAACCTGTGAAAGCATAAAAAAAGGAAATAGCATTTACCATATAGCTACATAATGAACTTGTGGTGGACGGAGACCTCGCTGCAGTGGCCTACTGAGACCAATAACGGCGTTCGGCGGAAAACGTGGCGCTTTGATGGTGAACGGTGAGTAAAACTCTGGGCCCACAAGTCCGTTATACTGTAAAGGAAAAATAACTTTATGTTGAAAACGCTTCTTTCTCAGATGAAAATACAATATGATTTGATTGCTTTCGTAAGGTGAAGAAGCCAAGAAATGCTATGAAACTAAATCAACTAACGTTAGTGCATCAAATCATGTTTAGCAGAACATTTGGTCTCACCAGGTTTTAATATGGTTTCCCATCGTCTTAGAAAGAAGGACCAGCTGGATAAAACTTTACTTTAGTAACTGCAACTCGAGAAAGGAACGACATAAAGATTACTGCAGCTATGTCGATAAGTTCAATCCATATCCGTGGCAAGAACGGTATTCACAAAAGAGGAGTAAAAATGACTAACGAAATAGTTCATTATGTGGACTTTATTGGGTCAGGCTCACCTCATCTGATGACTAGAATAGACTACAGTTTCAGTTTTTGATGAAAATCATGAATCACTCTAGTCAACAACTTTCACTAAAATAGACGAACGTACAAAGTCAGCTGCTCGTTTCTTGATGTTACTTCTGACAGACTCGGCATATGATGGTGACATGAGCACAGTTGAATAGTTATCGGTGATGACATCGAACCCAGATCCTTCAAGATGAGATAATTGCACGGATTTCTCGATTGTATAGTCTCCTGGCAAGTCACTTGCTATGAGTGTTGAATTCCATGCCCTCGCATGATGTACCAGAAGGCCCCACAGTGTCACCCAGGTGGATACTGGGGGTACCAGCATTGGTAGTAGTGAATTCTGAAAGAATCGCAGCTCAAAAAATCGCGGTAATCTTTGGTAATGTTTTGTGGAATATGTGAAAATTTTTAATGCAAGAAAGAAAAGATAGATACGGTTGCCTTGCGTACGCATCGTTCGAGATAGGAAAACCAAACCGATCTGCCAAATGCAAAAGCTGTTTTCATGCTAAGATGAGCTCTTCATGGAAAGTTTGCTAAGTAGAGATTGACTATGAAAATCTTTGAAAACGGACATCGCATCTTAAGGCAACGAAGCGGTTGGTGGACGTAGCTGACGGTAGAAATGAAGAATGAACAAGCACAGTTGCGTAAGTTGTGGAACAACGAAATGTAAAAATACGGCAATTCGGTCGACGTTGATGAGGATCTGTTGAGTCTGACTGAACAAATAAAAGAATTCTGACCCCTCATGTACGAAAAATATCGACTTTTAGTTCACATTAAACATGAACGTATGAAATATGACACATCGTTGTTTCGGATTTTGTAGCTTCGCTGGTTCTATGCCAGGAAAGGGTAATCTACTCCTTCTTCTAAACTGAATAAGTGGCGGTTTTCACTGAGCAGAATAAAAGACACTGTCCTTTTCTCAGATCTAACACACCATCGCCATAAGTGGAAAAAGGACAAGGCGTGCACTTTGAGACATCCCTGAAAGATGCATCACGCATTCGACTCAATTCGTAGCACAGAGGTGATTGTATTCATATATGGTCCATAAAAACAATAGCAGACTTATATTAATGTGTCAAGTTAGTGTTTTTATCCTCTCAGACAGGCCTGGTATCAGTTTTCTAACCTCGGAAGGATAAATGGCTTAGTTATCGTGGAGGCGATTTCAAACTAAAGATCACATTTTTGTCTCATGGTACCTCTAGTCACTGTGCTACAGTCGCTTTTACTACTAGTTAAGCTAGAATCTGAACTCTAACATAAGAATGGAAGCTAATCATCGAATCGGCCGACAAATCATAGCATTTTTAACTGCTTTTTGAAGTATATTCAGAGGTACAATGGCAAAGATTCAAAAACAAATGTTTTCGGATGGAAATTAATTTCAAGAAAAACCTAAGAGATCGGTGCTATTTGTATGTGTACCGGACTTTTAATAGTACCAGGTAATCTCAAGCCATGAGGAGATGCTTGGACGAAATATGATTCGAATGGCGAAGTGCTTTGCTGGACACGATATTTTGTTAAGGACAATAGTGACGTGTATGCCACTGTCAGTGATAGTGGGTCCGTTTGAATCCCGACAGCTGGAATACAACGACGCCTAACTATGGATGCTCTGATATTGCGAATGTACACGTGGTATGAACAGGACATAGAAATTTCTATTGCTCTTGTCATTCAGTCTGAATTAAGACTCAAAAATTGGCTAAACTGCCAAGAAAAGTTAGTAAAAGGATGAGATTAAGCGTCTCATTTCGTTATGAATTTCGAAATGTGGTGTCGACGCAGGGGTACACTGTGTTTTTCCTAACACTGACTCATTGCTTTCTTAGTCAAAAACTTTTGCGTAGGTGGAGCTATAAATTTATATGCTATATGTACATATTTAAGCAGAATGTCCTACTCATAAATGATGTGAACGTACATGTCATTTTGTTTTATCAAAGAAAATACCCTTATTATCAGTGTTTTGTTCTCCCATTCAAATAGCTTAGTAGCACTCTACTAGTATCCTTAGCAAGAAAGAAAGGGCCTATATTAAAAAAAAACAGTTCATATTCTCCTTAAAGCGTCACAGTATTCATTTTAAAGCAGCTTAAATCACTTACATAAGTTTTTCCCTTTTAATACCCAACACGAACAAGCGACGGATAGTAGGTAGTGAGGCCCGTCATCGCAAGCACGGTTTAGTTCAATTCCACTCCTGGCTAACCAAGCCTCTCATCCCTCCAGAGTGAGGAAAATAGGTATCGGACTTGTCTGGGAAAAGGCCACTTACTACAATCCAGTTGGAAACGATCCAGCACGGTTATCTCAGAACTCCAGGTAGAATTGCTCGACCAGCATTCTACGACATTCAGAATGAAATGAAAAGCCTCAAGCAGCAGCCGAAGCCACACGTGAAGTAATATCTTCGTAGACAATGGAAGCGAGGAAACGAAGTGAATATGAGAAGTGCTAGGATCCGTAAAGTAGAAGCGAAGACGGGTCAACCAAAACAAAATAAAAAAATTACCCTACAATGATTTAGCCTGCCATCGTAGTAGGGAATGAGGTGCTTGTAGGTGTAGAACTAAACAAAAAACTAGAATCGTCGTCCATTAGGACTGACCAGGTTAAACACTTCAGTATTTCCATCCGGAAAATCCAGACTAAAGTAACCCAACATAAGGAATTGCTGCCGTTCATGAGGAAGACTGATTGCAAGTTCACAAGCCTAGTGTAAATGGGTTGGTGAGCACTTATGATGAAATTGGAAATGCTATGCAAAACTTTCTCGAAAGTCGAGGCAGAAATCATTCAAGCCAGCAACGTATTAGGCCAATAAAAAATTTGCTCAGTCAGCTCAATTTTTTTTTGAGAACGGGCTATTTAGACATTTACGCATTTTTATGACCAGTTTCACCTTTCCGTAAACGAATGAATCTAAAAATGTGTTTCATAGAGAAACAATCCACCTATTGCAGAAGAATTTCCTTGCTGAAGTCACGTGACTCCTGAGTGCAAACGCGATAACAATGGAATTCGTCATTAGTGGCACAATAGATAGCATTCTTTCTATCAAACAGATTCATGGCTTTGCATTAAACAAAAACAATGAATGGCTATAGAGATGCATTTTCTTTAAGGAGTTTTTCCCACAAGGTGTATTGTTATGTTAGATTATACAAAATTTACAGCATTGAATGAATAGGCGGGTATAGCGCAAAGGTTGGATATCCTATGCTATACACACCGGATCAACCGGTTTTTCAATTGCGCGCTCAGGCGTCACCAACCTTTGTATCTCTACAGAACACTAACCTTTGTATCTCTACGGAATAGCCAAATTGCTAGCAGACTTGGCTCGGGAAATAATAATATCGACTGATACACTACTGGACTACCGAAAATCACTACAAACCAGACACGCGCTCAATTACCTCTATGATGCTCGATTAAGTCGAATGTATAGCTCTCACTCCTTCTGGATTGATCAACGCCGAATGCCTTACATTTTCGTCCTTATTTACCTAATGTATATGCTAAACACAGAAAAGCTCAGTATTGATATAAATTCTTTCAAATATAGAACTTCTGAAGTAGAGAAGATCAGTGAGCTTAACGAAATGCGCAAAAAGATTGGGCTAAGCATAAGCCAGAAGAAAACCGACTTGTGAGGAATCCATGGTGCGAAGCTGAATAGATCAAACAGGATGGTTCTCTGACTACGTAGACTACCTCGTACATGTATCTTGGGCGCTCAATGAAAATCGAGCACAACATGAAGGAGGAATTAGGCAAAAGAAAGAGAGCAGCATGGGGCACATTCAAGCTTCTCAAAGTAGCCACCGACCAACTAGCGAATCCAAAACTCACCTTTTCAACTCAGCAGTCCCCCCAGCGCTCTTTTATACAGCAGAGAGGTGAGGTGATGTTTCAACCACTTAAAGAATGCTGCACACCGCTTACAGAGCTGTTAAACGATGTCTTCTGAAATATAACCGGCACACACAACATATAGCCGGAATGCGAAGCTCTAATCTGCAAAGCCTATCTCATCATCGAGACAAACGAGTGCAAAATGTGTTATATTCCGCACAACCCGTAAATACGGATGGTGTCCAGGTAAGTACGTATAAAACTTATCGGTTGCCTGGAAATTATGTATTCAAACTCGCATGTATGAAAGGCTTGGTTACCCTGGGACGTGAGATCAAATGAACAGCAAGCGTGTGTTGTAGAGCACCTATAACCACTACCTGATCCACATAAGGACAATTGGAGTCTACATATCTTTGCCAACGATATTCACCTCTATCTATATCATAGCACTGGTTAGCGCAATGGTTAGTGGTGTTATCGACCAGCAACCAACCCCACCAACCCCCCCCCTTCCCCCCCCCCAG